CTTGCTTTTGCTTATGGCCATGGAGACGTGGCCTTTATCGGTTCAACCTTCAAAATTAAATCAGATCAGTACATAATGCCAAAACAGTAGTGTAAAACACCACAGCAAGCAACTTTTAATGCTGCAGTAAAATTTGCTCTCCTAAAAAACAGGTTAAAAAGATCCATTACATCCTGTTAGTTTTTTTTTTTTTTGAGGAATCAGGAGGAGCCAGAGGCTCCTACTGTAAATTTATTAATGAAAAAGTTAACAAAAAGGATACAAAGAAAGAGCAAGACAGAACAGGTCCAGTAGGAGTGCTCAGGGAACAGAGAAAGAGAGGAAGAAAATCAAGAAAATTACAAGGAGTTGATCCATGATTCTAAAACAGGGGTGATCCTAGCTTTTGTCCTGTGCAATAGCAGAAGTGATTCCACCGTGATAAGCCTTTTGCAGTCCGCAACCGAGGGGTTTTTTGTTTCTGAAAAATAACATCATTTCTCATCATCCAAATGGCCCAGCAGATCAAAATCCATCCTGTTAGATAGCCAAGGAGGTGAGAGTGGGATATGGAAGATGAAAGAAATGGCTCTTACTGAATATTTGTGCGATGATCTTCAGGCCTCTGAATATTCCCTTCATCCGCCATTGGCGAGGCCTTTGGCCTTCCCTCTGAAAACCACAGGCAATGAATTGGTACCAACTACGAACAGGCAGGACTAGCATGAATCGGTAGATGAATTATGAATACTGATTACGATTCAGAGCAGGCAAAAGTAGCTGTACCCTTCACAGCAATGTATGTATATATCTAAGCAGCAAGCTTCCTTTCCTTGGGTACCAATGCAAGAGGCGGAGAAGGAGCTGGAATGCTGGATATACAGACATCCTGGTTCAGAAATGGAGCCAGCGGCGAAGGGAAAGGTGACGATCGCGAATACAAATGACAAGGAAGGAGATCTGAACCTGTCAGATAGCCCAGGCTCGGTTCATGCTCCACTCTTTTCTGATCGGCCTAGACTTAGCGAGAATAATGGAGCTCAATTTAGCCGGATTGAGCGCGTCCTCGTACAAGCCAGGCGCATGTTCCATTCATGCAGCGGCTGTTAGTTGTTTCCTTCTTTTCGTTGAGTCGTAGTAGTGGCGATCAGCACGCTCCAAGTCGTGGGATGGCACGGCAATGGCGGAGCGTGGAGACCGCAGCGTCATGGCTGTTCGTGGCCATTGTTTTCGCTTGTAATCTTGTGTGTTTTAAGTTCATCAAATAGAGTCCAGAAAAGCTGCGTTGGTTAGCGGCACCAAAATCACCAGCGTTCCACTGTGTTCGCGTGCGTTCTCTGAATTTTCAGTTCATCGTCTTCCTCTCCGGAGACGGGCGCCGGCGAGCGAGAGACTGACAACACAGCACAGCTCCCCTTACATAAAGGTGATTTGATTGATCACAAATTAGGTGGGGTTTCCTCTGGCTCTTCCACTCTCTCCGGTCCGTTTAGTGTCGAGGCCGGCCCGCAGCCCACCCCCGTCGTCGTCGTTGGCGGCGACACGATGGGGCGGGGCCCCACGGTTGCTCTCGCAGCGGCGGCGGCGGCGCTGCTTGTGTCGCTGCCGATGCTGACGGTATCGCTTCGGGCCGCGGACCCGTACGAGCAGGAGACCCGCCGGATGTTCGTGGAGTGGAAGGCCAGGGTCAAGGAGACCTATAGATACGTCGGCGAAGAGGAGTGCCGGTACGCGGTGTTCAAGGAGACCCGCCGCCACGTCGCCCGCGCCAGAGCCGCCGGGGTGACCTCATCTGGCCTCAACGGTTTCAGCGCCACCACCATTGAGGAGTTCAACAACATGTTCGGGGCCCGGATGGGGGAGAAATCGTATGAGCAGGAGACCCGCCGGATGTTTGTGGGGTGGAAGGCCAAGTACGGCAAGACCTACAGAGACGTCGGTGAGGAGGAGTGCCGGTACGAGTTGTTCAAGGGCAACCGCCGCGTCGTCGTCCGGCTCAACGCCGCCGCCGGGCAAAATGTGTACGGCCTCAACCAATTCGGCGACCTCACCAACGAGTATGTCCGCGAACGCTGCTACCCGAAGATGGAGGACCGAGAGCTGAGCGCCAGGTGCCAAGCCGACCCGGAATCCGGCCATGGGAGGCTGATTCGGTACCAGGTAACCCATCCATCTTGCTAGCTGTTTTTATTAGTTGATCAAACATGGGGATTATTGATTTTGTTTGGTCAACTGCACTAAGGGGGTGTTTGGTTTCTACGTGCCCTCCTAAAATTCTTGTCACATCGAATGTTTAGACGCATGCATGGAGTATTAAATATAAATTAATTACGAAACTAATTACACAACTTGTGACTAATTTACGAGACAAATCTTTTAAACCTAATTAGTCCATGATTTGACAATGCGGTGCTACAGTAAACATATGCTAATGATAGATTAATTAGGCTTAAAAAATCGTCTCGCAAATTAGCCTCTATTTATGTAATTGGTTTTATAATTAATCTATATTTAATACTCTTTATTAGTATCTAATTATTCGATGTGACATAAATTTTAGGAGCGACTAAAGAACTAAACACCCTCTAAATAGCCTCTTGATCTTGGAAAACATCATAAATCTGAATCTCGTGTGGTCGTGGAAAACATCCTACTATTGGTACCAGTGTCTACTCATATACATTCTCATTCGTTACTTTTTACTTGACCTGTTTTGTTTATATAGGTTTGCCGGTGCATTGCTACGGAACTGAAAGAAACAGAGTCTGGAGGTAGCGCCATTCCTGGAGATGAAGCACACATGTTACAAATGGAATAGATTTTAGCTGTTAAACATGCATGTGAGTACAAAATTTGATTCCTGAGGTCAGGAGGTTTTCCTTACCAAATACGTACAAATTTTTAGCTGAAAGTTCAGTATCAGTGACCAAATCCTTGGGTTTCACTCTTTCAAACTTTTGCGCATTAACTAAAATGCGCTTTTCTGATTATCTAATTGAAAGGTTTCCGGTTGTTTCCATCTATGTGCCGTTAGCTGTTAAATACTCCTATGTGATTAGAGAATTCCGAGTCCAATTTTTATCTGAAAGTTCAACATTAGCACCGTATTCCTTTGGTTTCACTCCTCCAGAATTTGGCTTATTATATCATTTTGATTGACAAGATACTCGCCCGTCCCGAAATAATAAACCTCAGATCTTCAGACTCATGCTTTTTCTTGATGACTTTAGGCTTCAGAAAAGTGCAGGTTTAAGCGATAACAGTTTTTCAACCAGGAAAATATAGCTTGCTTTTGCTTATGGCCATGGAGACGTGGCCTTTATCGGTTCAACCTTCAAAATTAAATCAGATCAGTACATAATGCCAAAACAGTAGTGTAAAACACCACAGCAAGCAACTTTTAATGCTGCAGTAAAATTTGCTCTCCTAAAAAACAGGTTAAAAAGATCCATTACATCCTGTTAGTTTTTTTTTTTTGAGGAATCAGGAGGAGCCAGAGGCTCCTACTGTAAATTTATTAATAAAAAAGTTAACAAAAAGGATACAAAGAAAGAGCAAGACAGAACAGGTCCAGTAGGAGTGCTCAGGGAACAGAGAAAGAGAGGAAGAAAATCAAGAAAATTACAAGGAGTTGATCCATGATTCTAAGGGGGTGTTTGGGACTGCTCCACAAACTCTGCTCCACAAACTCCACCGTGGAGCAGCTCCACAAAAAACTGGAGTTTGTGGAGTACCTCTTTAGGTGCTCTCACAACTCCACCCTTTTTCCTGGAGCAGAGTGCGTGGAGCTGAAACCGTTTGGCTAAAAAACGTGGAGCGGAGCTGAAAAACGTGGAGCGGAGCAGTCCCAAACACGCCCTAAAACAGGGGTGATCCTAGCTTTTGCCCTGTGCAATAGCAGAAGTGATTCCACCGTGACAAGCCTTTTGCAGTCCGCAACCGAGGGGTTTTTTGTTTCTGAAAAATAACATCATTTCTCATCATCCAAATGGCCCAGCAGATCAAAATCCATCCTGTTAGGTAGCCAAGGAGGTGAGAGTGGGATATGGAAGATGAAAGAAATGGCTCTTACTGAATATTTGTGCGATGATCTTCAGGCCTCTGAATATTCCCTTCATCCGCCATTGGCGAGGCCTTTGGCCTTCCCTCTGAAAACCACAGGCAATGAATTGGTACCAACTACGAACAGGCAGGACTAGCATGAATCGGTAGATGAATTATGAATACTGATTACGATTCAGAGCAGGCAAAAGTAGCTGTACCCTTCACAGCAATGTATGTATATATCTAAGCAGCAAGCTTCCTTTCCTTGGGTACCAATGCAAGAGGCGGAGAAGGAGCTGGAATGCTGGATATACAGACATCCTGGTTCAGAAATGGAGCCAGCGGCGAAGGGAAAGGTGACGATCGCGAATACAAATGACAAGGAAGGAGATCTGAACCTGTCAGATAACCCAGGCTCGGTTCATGCTCCACTCTTTTCTGATCGGCCTAGACTTAGCGAGAATAATGGAGCTCAATTTAGCCGGATTGAGCGCGTCCTCGTACAAGCCAGACGCATGTTCCATTCATGCAGCGGCTGTTAGTTGTTTCCTTCTTTTCGTTGAGTCGTAGTAGTGGCGATCAGCACGCTCCAAGTCGTGGGATGGCACGGCAATGGCGGAGCGTGGAGACCGCAGCGTCATGGCTGTTCGTGGCCATTGTTTTCGCTTGTAATCTTGTGTGTTTTAAGTTCATCAAATAGAGTCCAGAAAAGCTGCGTTGGTTAGCGGCACCAAAATCACCAGCGTTCCACTGTGTTCGCGTGCGTTCTCTGAATTTTCAGTTCATCGTCTTCCTCTCCGGAGACGGGCGCCGGCGAGCGAGAGACTGACAACACAGCACAGCTCCCCTTACATAAAGGTGATTTGATTGATCACAAATTAGGTGGGGTTTCCTCTGGCTCTTCCACTCTCTCCGGTCCGTTTAGTGTCGAGGCCGGCCCGCAGCCCACCCCCGTCGTCGTCGTTGGCGGCGACACGATGGGGCGGGGCCCCACGGTTGCTCTCGCAGCGGCGGCGGCGGCGCTGCTTGTGTCGCTGCCGATGCTGACGGTATCGCTTCGGGCCGCGGACCCGTACGAGCAGGAGACCCGCCGGATGTTCGTGGAGTGGAAGGCCAGGGTCAAGGAGACCTATAGATACGTCGGCGAAGAGGAGTGCCGGTACGCGGTGTTCAAGGAGACCCGCCGCCACGTCGCCCGCGCCAGAGCCGCCGGGGTGACCTCATCTGGCCTCAACGGTTTCAGCGCCACCACCATTGAGGAGTTCAACAACATGTTCGGGGCCCGGATGGGGGAGAAATCGTATGAGCAGGAGACCCGCCGGATGTTTGTGGGGTGGAAGGCCAAGTACGGCAAGACCTACAGAGACGTCGGTGAGGAGGAGTGCCGGTACGAGTTGTTCAAGGGCAACCGCCGCGTCGTCGTCCGGCTCAACGCCGCCGCCGGGCAAAATGTGTACGGCCTCAACCAATTCGGCGACCTCACCAACGAGGAGGTCCGCGAACGCTGCTACCCGAAGATGGAGGACCGAGAGCTGAGCGCCAGGTGCCAAGCCGACCCGGAATCCGGCCATGGGAGGCTGATTCGGTACCAGGTAACCCATCCATCTTGCTAGCTGTTTTTATTAGTTGATCAAACATGGGGATTATTGATTTTGTTTGGTCAACTGCACTAAGGGGGTGTTTGGTTTCTACGTGCCCTCCTAAAATTCTTGTCACATCGAATGTTTAGACGCATGCATGGAGTATTAAATATAAATTAATTACGAAACTAATTACACAACTTGTGACTAATTTACGAGACAAATCTTTTAAACCTAATTAGTCCATGATTTGACAATGCGGTGCTACAGTAAACATATGCTAATGATAGATTAATTAGGCTTAAAAAATCGTCTCGCAAATTAGCCTCTATCTATGTAATTGGTTTTATAATTAATCTATATTTAATGCTCTTTATTAGTATCTAATTATTCGATGTGACATAAATTTTAGGAGCGACTAAAGAACTAAACACCCTCTAAATAGCCTCTTGATCTTGGAAAACATCATAAATCTGAATCTCGTGTGGTCGTGGAAAACATCCTACTATTGGTACCAGTGTCTACTCATATATATTCTCATTCGTTACTTTTTACTTGACCTGTTTTGTTTATATAGGTTTGCCGGTGCATTGCTACGGAACTGAAAGAAACAGAGTCTGGAGGTAGTGCCATTCCTGGAGATGGTCTGATGGTCCTATTGTTACAGCAGCTAATGCAAATGCATGGGGTCTGATGGTCCTATTTATTTCTAATCACGAATTGCAGAAGCAAATGCAAATGTTTGGACGCTGTAGTGGAACAGTGAATTGACAAGATGACTGACACCAACAAGAGGACGCATTATTTTGAGTAGTATCAAGTGGAATAGATTAGTTGTTAAACATGTGAGTACAAAATTTGATTCCTGAGGTCAGGAGGTCTTCCTTACCAAAGTACAGATTTTTAGCTGGGCGTTCAGCGTTAGTGACGACCAATTCCTTGGGTTCCACTCTTTCAAAACTTTTGCGCATTAATTAAAATGCACTTTTTCTAATTCCCAGTGGTTTCCATCAGTAATGCCATTAGCTGTTAAATACTACTCCTATATGATTAGAGAATTTCGTTCTTACGGTCGTGGTCCAAATTTTAGCTGAAAGTTCAACATCAGCAACGTATTCCTTTCGTTTCTCCAGAATTTGGCTTATATTATACCATTTTGATTGACAAGATACTCGCCCCAAAATAAATAAACCTCAGATCTTCAGGCTCAAGCTTTTTCTTGATGACTTCAGGCTTCAGAAAAGTGCAGGTTTAAGCGATAACAGTGTTTGGACCAGGAAATCAGGATTGGTTTATCGGTTCAACCATCAAAATTAAATCAGATCAGTACATAATGCCAAAACAGTATAGTGTAAAACGCCACACTAAGCAACTTTTAATGCTGCTGTAAAATTTGCTCTCCCGTGTACTCAAAGAAGAAAGTTTTTTTTTAAAAAAATGGGCGGGCTAATTTCAGCACGAAAGCTTTGCATCCAGTTCGGCTAGGCTTCAGTGTATATACTTACTCGGGCCTGGCCTGTTGTGGTATTAGGCGGTCATGGCCTCATTGTATTGGTGGTGATAGCGTTGTGGTGTGTTTTTAGAACACGATAGGTGATGATTTCACACAAAAATCTTTCTGAGCGGCGGGCATTCTCTGTCGCTAAAAAAAATCCTCTGCTATTTGTGAGTAGAAAATCCTACTTATTTTCGACTGAATTTCTTCAAAAAATACTCTCTTCATTCTAAATTATAAATTATTTTAGTTTTTTATATACATAGTGAACAGACACATGCAACACGTATGTGCCATACAATTTTATTCATAGTAGAAGGATTGTATACATTCAATTAATATATTATATATTTAATAAGTATTTTTCACAATAAAAATAGTTTTAACTAAACAGCCAGTAAATAGGATTAAGGACAAAACTTTAGCAAGGATTGGACACAAGCACATATTTAATAAGTTTTTTTCACAATAAAAATATTTTTTAACTAAACAGCCAGTAAACAGGATTAAAGACAAAACTTTAGCAGAATTGAACAAAAGCTCAAATTGATGGCCAATTGGTGTAGCAAAAATGAAGCACCTTGACTCTGAAATTCTTTATATCTGAATGTGCTAAATCTTTTGACACTTGTACTGTATACATGAGCAACCATTTCTGCAATGAGCCATCCCAACATGGATCCCCAGAACTCCTTCCCAGATCTCTGAAAAATGCCTTCCAAGCATGATGTCGGGTATCAATATTTGGATACCCGGACAAGAGGAGTTAACGACCATCGGCATTAATTCGCCAAGACAGTTAAGGCGTCACTACGGCTTCATCCGACCCCAAGGGCACGAGATCTCGCCTCGCTGACCCCTCGGGCGAGGGCCTCGTCGTCGTCCGCCCCAGGGCTTGAGCTCAGATCGCCCGACCCTCGGGCACGGGAGCCGCTTATAGCCCAGCCCCTCAGGCACGGGCTCCGCCTCAACTGACCCCTCGGGCACAGTTTCCGCCTTGCCCGACCCCTCAGGCGCGGGCCTCGCATCGCCCGGCCCCTCGGGCGATGGCTCCGCCTCGCCCGACAGGGGCCATACCGCCCCCATCCGCCGTAGGTCAGAGGGCGTGGGCCCTGCGTCAAACTCCTGACGCCGGGAAAGGCAAGCGCATGTCCTAATGTGACCCGCGGCCACGCTGGGCCATACCCAGGGCAACGCGCCCCCAACAATGACGGCCATGCTTAAGCACCTTGTCCTTACTCCCCATACGGCCACGAATGGGATTAGAGGCCAGCCATACTGCCTGATAGGGCAGAAAGGAAAGCCACGACCGGCTGATGACGCGGGGGTATAACAGCAATGATAAACAGGGACACGACATGGAGCCGTCCCCATCGACTCCTACAGCGTCGGCGGGACCCACGTGAAGAAGAAGGGGGAAGCAACGGTCCCCAGAAGACTTTTTTTCATCCTTGTTCTCCATTCTCTCTCTCTCTCTCTCCCATGTAACTTGTATCCTCCCCTTCTCGTATAAAAGGGGAAGCAGGGCACCCCGGAGATGGACTCACATGCGCAACACACTCAAACACTCTCTCATTCTCCCCACAGAGACTTGGGATCCACTCCCTCTCTCGCCCATCTGTAACCCCTGCCACAGATAAGTGCCAGTAATACAAGCAGCAGCGAACTGGACGTAGGGACATTCAGCCCGAACTAGTATAAATCTTGTGTCTTTTGAGCACACCATCCGAGCCGGACGCGCAATTTAGAAATTTAGTAGCCGGTGACTCGAATCACCGACAGTTGGCGCGTCAGGTAGGGGCTTTTGCGCGTCTCGACGTCTTCATCAGGCTTCAGATGGCTAGCCACGACATCAGCTAGGTCCCGGCGTGCATGTGCGCTTTGGGAGCCTAGATTTTGTCATCCTCGTGGAGGGAGAGTTGGCGCAGTCTTCGATCCCCGCCTAGCCTTTCTGCTCCGATGGCCTCGACATGCTCGTCGAGGCCCTCGAGGGGCTGCAATTGCATCTGCCGGGGGTCCGAACCCCCGGGAGCGACCGGCTCCGCGACTTCGACTACGAGAGGCTAGAATGCCAGCTCGACGCCTTCCTGGGACCCCGACCGTCCTAGGAAGGCATGCGCTGCCTTGCCTTCTCCTTCGCCAACGTCGTGATGCAGCTTTCCAGAGGAGAACTGCTCTCCCTAGGATACCTCGCCCGAGACGCCCCGACAGCGCTCCCGTTTGGCCTGTGCAATGCCGCGACGACCGTAGGTCACCTCGTGGCGCAACGCATGCGCCCATCTCCCGCGGGCAGTGAGTTCGTGGGCATGGCGGACTACGTCGCGCAATCATTCCACGACCTTCTCGCAGGAGATTCGGAGTCTGTCTCCAACCTTAACTCTAGTAGGGGGAGTCATCACCCATCGTGAGAATGCTTCATTGCTGAGACCCTAGAGGGACGCGTCGAAAGCGTCCATGAGGGGGGAACCAACCCGCCTCAGGACCCCGATGATGGGGACGAAGAGGGGGCGGGGGCTTTTCCTCACATACAGGAGGATCACCTGCGAGTGCGGCGCCAAGAGCTCAAAGAGGCGTGGCTCGAACTCGAGCTGGAACGCGCGGAGCTCGAGCGAGAGATAGAGCGCCGAGGAGACAGCGGGCGTGTGCTCGCCAGGTCCCGCGACCTAAACTGGAGGATCGTCGAGGACGACGAAGGCCTCCCATGTTTTGCTCGGGCGAGCCAGAACACAGCAGCCGCGGCAGCTCTGCTCTGAGGGTCCCTGAGCCCACGACGCCCGGGGACCGTCAGACTCACCGAGAGACCCGCACGTTACTCGAGCGTGCCACAGTGCAGCAGGCGGAGAGCTTATTGTCTCGACAGCGCGAGCTCGACGCTAGCCAATGCGTGCCCTCGGGGCAGCGTGGCAAGGACGTCTTCGTCCACCAGGAGCCATACGATGACGGAAGGCGTGTCGCGGTCCCGGTGCATGAGCGTCTTGGCCGCGACCGCGACGCTCGCGACACCCTGAACGCCTGCAGGCGCAGACGGGACGACAAGAGGGAGGAGGCCGATCACGGTTACCACCCTCACCGGGGCGGGCGTTACAACAGCGCCGAGGACCGAAGCCTGAGCCTCGGCCTGCCGGGACCTCAGGTCTTCGGCCGGCACATCCTCAACGCGCCCTTCCCGCCGCGGTACCGGCCGCCGACCAATGTCCCGAAGTACTTCGGGGAAACGAACCTCGAGCTGTGGCTCGAGGACTATCGGCTTGCTTGCCAAGCCGGTGGCGCGGATAGTGACAACTTCATCATCCGCAACCTCCCCTTATTCCTCGCTGACTCGGCGCGGACGTGGCTGGAGCACCTCCCGCCCAACCGCATCCATAGTTGGGCGGACCTAAAGGAGATCTTCGTGGGGAACTTCCAGGGCACCTACACGCACCCTAGGAACCCATGGGACCTCAAAAAATGCCAACAGAAGTCTGGGGAAACTCTTTGTGAGTATATCTTACGCTTCTCTCGACAGTGCAACGAGCTTCTCGACATCGCCGATGCCGACATTATCAGAGCCTTCTTGTCGGGGACTACCTGCGAGTCCTTGGTCCACAAGCTGGGTCGCAAAGGCCCGAGGACCACCATGGAGCTCCTCGACATCGCCACTAGCCATGCCTCGGGCGAGGAGGTGGTCGGAGCCATTTTAGACCACTCCAAGGGCAAGGCAAAGTGGGATGAGGACGTCGACGAAGACGCCTCCAACCGCCCCAACAAGAAGAAGAACAAGCAACAGCACGAGGGCTCGCTCGTGGCTGCTGTTGACCGCAAGGGGGCCGAAAGTTCGCTGAGGGCACTCCTAACCACTTCGAGAAGCTCCTTGAGGGGCCGTGCCTGAACCACGCCTTCCCCATCAAGCACCTGTACAAGGACTGCGCTCTCATGAAGCGGTTCTTGTCCGGCGGCGCCAACAAGCGTGAGCCAAGGAGGGACCCCAAGCCTACGTCGAACGACGCCGAGGGGAAGGATGATGGCTTCCCGACCCTCGATGGCTTTCCTCATGATCTTCAGGGGGTCAACGGCTTACGACTCCAAGCGTCGACAGAAGCTGGCGTGCCGCGAGGTCTACGCAGCCGAACCTGCCACGCCCGCCTTCCTCCGATGGTCGGAGTCCGCCATCACCTTCGATCGAACTGACCACCCAGACAGCGTCCCTCAGCTAGGGTGGT